TGAACTTGCATTAATTTTACATGGCTTTCTAAACATGCGGCTCCTTTGTGCAACATGCGAGTGCAACATTGATAGATGTCCCTCTAGAAAATGCGATAAATATGCGTTCTGTGTGAACGGCTTGGTTTCGGTTTTGATGTAAACAAGATCTTCTCCGCATTGATGTTCTCTTTTCCCGCAATATTTGTAATTAACAACGCAGCAGCGCCGCATCTAGTGGCTTCAACTGGATAGGCTAACAAAAACATTATAATGCAGCGACACTTACATCGTCATCGCATCTCGTGCGCCACTGATAAGGCTGCCTCCTTAACGCACACCTAAAATTCGAATGCAACGTTTTTGCATTCGAATGTGGATTTTTATTTTAAATTCGGCGAATATTCGAAATTCAAATTTTTTTGGACAGCCCTATAGTGTATATGAACATATAAGACTGATAATGGTAAATTTAACAAGCATTAGTTCAGGTTAAAATGTTTGCAGCCCCTTCTCTGTTGCAACAATTTGACTGACATTCATGCACACGCTCTATGAAATATTTGAAATTTAATGGTAATCGTTCACTGTTGGGACAGGCTGTATTACACAATGGAAATGCTTGCTTTATATGAATACAATAGTAAACATAGTAAAATGTAAGATATGTCTGGGTGTAAACCATCTCAGCTGCAATGAGCAACATAATAAGTGACAGAAAGGTTCACTCAGAGCATTTGACAGAAAGTGTAAGACCTGTTTTAAAGGGTGTGGCAAGTGCCCATTAAATCCGAAACTAACCGGAAATCCAGAAAATCCAGAAGTCACAATTAGCGCAACAACCAAAAACACAAATGGACCCTCCTATCTCAGTTTTTCATAGAATAGGTTGTAAGAGCCACTTATTTCTTTACAAAATTGTTGATTTAATAATTGTGAATAAAGTGTCATATAACATTTAAATATTACTCTGAAAATGAAGCACCAATAATATTGCCTAATGATGGCAATATAATATCCTGCAATGATCAAGTATGGAATGTAAGATTGGAGCAATACATTTTTTTGACTGTGTAACATTTTTTTCCAGGTAATTTTGTTAAACTTTAGTAAAAATAGTTACTGGAATATTGAACGTTATAGTTTAACTTGAGTTCAACAAATATGACAAATTGGATGGATTGCTACCCTAATTTTAAAGGCGTTGACAAGTGACGCCATTGCACAGTGCAAAAATGTCACTGGTTGATTGAAATTGTTTATTATACATTAGCAATTATGGACCCTTTTTTACAAGACTGTGATGATCCATTTCAATAGTCATCAGCATCGTAAATCCTACAAAGTTTTTTTATATTTTCATTTTTTTTTATGTTTGTACATTTATAACACAATGCTTTGTATTATATTACCTTTGCATCAAATTACAAAAACTAGTTAATGCTAATTCAGGGGCGTTTCTAATACAAACGTCTATGGCAGCTATGGTAAATTTGACATTGTTCTCTCTTCTAACTGCCATTATCAATCTCTCTCTATTTGTTTTTTCCTTTTTTTGAAAGTTGCGAACACTATTGTGGAGTTTTTCTTTTGCCTTTTGAGCAAATGGGAATGCATAAAATATATTTGTGATAGTCTCCCAATCACTGCTATAGAATTTTACCCAACTATGTTGACTTCCGCTGCTGAGAAACATGGAAATGTGAAAAAGGTCCATTACTGATTAGTTGTGGCAGGTCTTGTTTATTTGTGGTCCTGACGGAAAAAGATATGTTTCGTGTGTGGTTGAGTGTTTAGCACTACCTGTGCCTGTGTCACTGGGGTTTCCCTCGTCCCTCCAGATGGATGAACAAACATGGAGATATCAGAGACAGGCTCTGGATACGACACCTCCAACCTACTCTCTTCCTGTGACAAAGAGAAAGGGTGAGATGGGGGTGAAATTATTAGTTATTGCATTCTGATGAACGATCATGAACTTGAAGCAGTGAATCAATCACAATAAAACCAGGAACATGTATAAAGTCAGTAAATGGTAAATTTTGACTTCTTGTTGACTTGAATGGTCATTAAGTGCGTATGTAGTTCTTACACTGGTGGTGTTCCACAGTGGTGGAGGTTCTGGATGAGTGACAGAAGGTTGATCTGGAACAACAGACTCTTGCAGCAAACTCCAGTCATCCAGCACCGGCTGAGCAGTGCTCTCCCAGACTGCTACAGGTTCACACACACCAATCAGGACAATATTTTTAGTTTTGAATTTTTAGAGATTTCACCTTCATGCTGTTCTAAACATGTATAATACACACACCCACACACATATACATATACATATACATACATATATATATATGTAATTACTTAATATATACTAAACCATAATGAGCCTTTTAACATATAGGCTAGCTAGCGTATTCCGCACTCAAGCGCACACATAAAGCTTGCCGCAAAGCACCGGCAAAAGCATTAATGACTATGAATATGTCAGGTAAAATGACAAGGAGATATTTATTATATTTATATTACTGTTTTCTGAGTCATTGTCCGCTGCAAAGATGAAGTTAACGATGCTGACTTGCCATCTCCGCAGTACAGTGGACGTGCCTTCAGAGAAAAATGCACCTTTCGTACGGATTACATAATGAGCTAGACATTTCGAGCTTTCTATAGATATATTTCTGATGTCTATGAGGCAAGTAGCCCATATGATGAGTTTCGGTTCATTTTTGTGACGAGTTCCACAGTTAACGGCGACCGAGATGGCAGAAAGGGCATCCTGTTTGATTTCTTTATTTTAAAAAAGCACAACATTTTGTTGATAATGTGAATGTACACAAATAAAAGTAGACTTTACAATTTCGAATGATGCATTATTCTTATCTGTATGAGCAAAAATGATGGCGTATTTTAAATTGTTTCAACTGTTATCAGGGGGAAAAAATGTCAAAAGTCATCGCGCCTGCGCCTATACATGCATTAAAGGGATAGTTAATCCAAAAATGAATTTGTAAGTTTTCCATTCGCTTTCTTTCCTGCTTGCTCGTAAGCAGCATAGTGGCTTCAATCATTCCATTGTATTTGTGTGCCGCACTAGCAAAAGTGATGTACAGTGCGACAAAATTAAAGGGGAGGGACAAAACAAAATCCTAATACAAGTGGTCAAAAGAGATGGCGTATTTTAAATAGTTTCAACTGTTATCAGGGGAAAAAAATGTCAAAAGTCATCGCGCCTGCGCCTATACATGCATTAAAGGGATAGTTAATCCAAAAATTAATTTGTATGTTTTCCATTCGCTTTCTTTCCTGCTTGCTCGTAAGCAGCATAGTGGCTTCAATCATTCAATTGTATTTGTGTGCCGCACTAGCAAAAGTGTACAGTGCGACAAAATTAAAGGGGAGGGACAAAACAAAATCCTAATACAAGTGGTCAAAAGAGACGCATTTAAAATGCATGATAGGACCAGGTTAAAACAGTAATGTGTCTCGACTAGGGTTTCAAAGGGGAGGAAAATTTCCGGTAATTTCTGAAAGTTTCCAAAAATCCTGGAAAGTTTCCAAAATTTCTGGAATGTTTCTGAAATTTACCGTAAATTTTCTGCCTCCCTGCAACCCTAGTCTCAGCTGACCACTTGAGATCGGATGACTGAAAATGCCTCTTAATACCAGGTGGAAACAGGACCAGATTTTCATCAGCTCTGCTTTTGTCTGATGCAATGTGATTTGTTACCCTCTCTAGGTTGCTCTCTCATTTCCTCAGGGTCAGTCTGCTGTCTCGCTCCTCCCTCCAAGCCTGGTCTCCTACGTGATGTGCCACAAGGGAACAGCTAGAGGAATAGAGGGAGAGGAATATATCCCATGATGCACTGCTTAATGCTATACTGGCCATATAATGACAGCTGTGCACTTCAGTTGAGCTCAGCTACTATTTCAGCTGCGGGTGTGGGCGATACCTGCTTTAAGTCAGGGTGAAAGAGTGGCAGACAAAAACTGGAGAACAGCTGCTTCACTCCTCCATTTTCCCTCCACTCCATGAGCTGCCGAGTGGGCGGGGCTATCTCCAATGGGGTTAAAAGGTCAGAGCAGTCAGCCAGTTGATTCCTGATGTCATCGTTTGTTAGTTCCTTTGATCGGTCAATCACTAGCTTCCGCTTCCTCGTGCTTCTTTTCCTTGCTGAAGACGCTGAGCACATGTTTAAACTTTCCATTAGTCTGATGGCAGGGCCTAAAATTAACACTAATCAACCACCAAATGTAAGCAAAAATCAGCGTTGGCGAGTATATGAAACAGCTTTAATAGCCAGTTGGCCATTAACTTTTTTTTAATTAATTCTAACAATGCCTGAAAACGTGATATGGATTAGCACGATTATCAAATTAAAAAAGACTGCATGTTTTCAGTGTGTTGTGGCGGTTTCCATTAAATGCTGCTCCACAAGAACTCCATCTGTGCAAGTGCTGCGGGTTTGAGTCGCTTATAATGTTTGGTCCATGTTGCATTTCCAAATGCACAGTTTGTAATGAGAATGGTCTGTTGTCAACAAAAGAGAAGTTTCTATGTGGTTTTCTGCCAAAATAAATCTCTATGGTTTAACGTTTGAAAGCACAGAAAAAACAAACATGAATATTAGTATTGTAATTTTACTGTTGCTATATATGTATATATATATATATATATATATATATATATATCTCACAGTTATTATTATTAACTACTTTATAGTTCAATAGTATTATAGTGATATCTTTAGTTTAATTTTACAATTTGATTAAATAATTATAATAATAAATATTAATAATAATAATTAAAATTTGCAATTAGATGTTTCCCCCAATTTGTTCTGCCAGGTTTCATGGTCTGTTAAAAAAAAAAAAAAAAGTTTGGGGCAAGTAAATTTTCTCAAGTCACCGGCCATTGGCAGATGAGGGAAAACGTTAGTTTTAGGCCCTGCTCTGATGTCTTAGCAAATCTGGAAGACTAGCATAATGCTTACTGAGCAGTATATACTATATAATGCCAAAATTAATTAACTCACTACATTAATATAAAAAGCCAATTCTGTATTTGTGATCCAGTATTATGCAGAAATGTCTTAATATATGTCAGTGCAATAAAAACAGTCAAGAAAAACTGTGGTTGACATTAATTTGTATGACATTGTGGGATACAGTATTCCACGCTCTGGTTGCATGTTATGCCTTTTGGCAAACACAGTAGGCCATCATGCTAAACACAAAAAACACAGTGTGCACATACTGCAGCAGCTGATTCATTACCATGATCTGGCCTGCAAACCCTATGTGGATATTTTTATTCCTGGTTGTCAACAGCACCCTCTAGTGGCTTCATGAGAGCAGTTAAAACCCCAACATTAAAAGGATAGTTCATCCAAAAAATGAAATTTCTGTATTCATTTACTCACCTTCGTGCTGTTCCAAATGTATGGCTTTCTTTCTTCTGTAGAACATAAAAGATATTTTGAAGAAAGTTGAAAATCAAACATTTTCGGCTACCTTTGACTTCCATTGTAATATCTTCTTTTATGTTACACGGAGGAAAGTAAGACTCATACAGGTTTGGAACGACACGAGGGTGAGAAGTTGATGACAGAATTGTAATTTTTTGGTGAAATGTCCCTTTAACTATGTACAACAATTTGAGGCAAAGGTCCAAAACTACTGCTCATTATATTCGCCAGAGCTGTTAAAACTCACGTGTGCCAGCAACCGGTGCAAGAGCAAAGCCTTCCTCTGCATTTACCAAGAAAGTGGTCTCAGTCAAGGCTGGACTGCTCCTACCCTTTAAACAGGAAAGTCCTGGTTTCACAGACTCCAGCTCTTTGAGAGAATGACACAGTGGTAAATGTTAGCGTTGCAAGCAAAGGTCAATTCCTAATAAATTACAGATAAAAAATGTACAATATTAAGATCAGATATTAGCCATTTATCATTTTATAATCTTACATATCCAAAGTGATTAATTAAAACACGCATCTAAATGTATTTTTATGCAATGTTTTATTAAAGCAACTGTACGTAAGTTTGAAATATGATATCATAAAAAACATAGCCTTTTTCCTTTTGCAAATAAATTCAAAAACTTGATTCATATTCACAATTCCTAAAAAAATAATAATAATTACTGAGACTAAATCTGTATGACAGCAAAAAAGAACAAATTAAGAATGCAAATTAAAAAAAATTAATTTGAGTGCAAATGTGTATGTGTGTAATTTAATATGACCAAAACCAACTATTAATAAGAATGAAATATGCTTGTTCATCTATTTCAAAGGCTAGAATATAATGTAATGCTATATCTAGAAAAAGTGTACCATCATTCCCTTCTGCAGTGACAGCAGTAGGAGGAGGTGTCGCTGGTAATTCATTCGGGGTGTCCTCATAGAAATCAGGCACCACAGCATCATCAGTAGTATTTGCTATAAAATCTAGACAGACCACAAATACAGAGAAAGAAACAAATATTGGACTCGGAGAAGTGGGAGGGTGATTCAGTTCCATAATTTTAGTGGTTTAAAAAAAGACTAGGCAGATTGTATAAATTTAGATGCAATGATTTTGTACAAAATGCACAAAAAGCAAGGGGATTCATATTCACTTATATTACAATCTACTATCATATCCCTCGTTAATGTTCACACTGAGCCATGGGGGAAGTGTTTGACAAACATATTTAAAAATAGTCACTTTTCACAATTCCCTTTTGTGGAGGAGAAATTATACACTTCAGCTTCAACATTAAACCGACTTAGATTTTTCTCTCATAACTTGACGTATGGACATTTTAATGTATCCCACATCTTATTTAAACATTACATTATTTGCTATTATTGCACTAACCTCTATTACAATAGTGTTAACTCTTGATATATTAACTTCAAAGGGATAGTTCACCCAAAAATTTTTATTCGGCTATCATTTTACTCCCTTTAACTCTTTGTAATCAATGACTAAACAGTTATTTGACATTTGGTTAACACTTACGAATATTTTCATCTTTATATTTATTTATTTTTATTGAGCAACATAATTATAATTATTTTTGCATTACAAAAAACTTTTTTTTTTTGTATAACATGCTGCATTAGAAAATACATAATGCCAGTTCTGATTTCATTTTGACTTTAAACATACATACATATTACTATTTTTATTAGTATGTGTGTGTGTGTTTTCGGTGTGCATGTCGCAAACTCATAAGTGTATATACTGTACCAATGAGGTCGACAGCCATTTCTTCATCACCAAAGCAGTCGCCGTGGACACTGAAACTCTGATCAAACAACCCTTGATAAGACTGGATTTCCTCACCTTTGAATGGTAAACAAACACAGTGTTACAACCGGCTCAACAATTGCGACATGAACGAGAGCCAAACAATCAATAATCAACATCTACAGTTTTGCATAGTGTATGTAAAAACTTGGTTCGTTGTTCATTCAGAGGGTTTACCAATTTGCTCCATGGTGAGAAAGTGGTTCTCAAAGGTCTCTTTGAGGGTAATATCTTCAGTGCGGCACTGATTCAAAGAGAAGTGATCGACCACATCAATGGTGCTGCGTGAGACATAACATGCCAAATAAGTCATAAAAACATGATATCAGGAAAAAAAAAAACCTATATAAAGAGCTGTTGAAGAACATGATACTTGAGATCAGGCAGCTGGGAATCAAAGTCAGTGAAGTCCTCTGGTAGAGTGATAGATTTTAACGCGGCCTCCATCGCATCCTCAGGCAGATCTGTCTGTCCTGTGATCAAAAACGAAATATCGTTGAGCTCTCTTGCAGTGTTCACTCGTTCTGTTGTCACTGACGGATTTAAAATCAGAGATGGCACATATGAGGATGCATTCACCTGGCCGGAAAGCCACATTAATTTTGACCAATGCATCACTGCAGTCTGTGAGAAGGTATCTGGTCTTCCTTGAGTATATCCGGACAACTCCTAAAAGAAGGTGACCTGAAGTTCGCAGACCGATTTTAATCTGGTAATGAATCATGGAGATAAATCACACACACACACACACACAGGGGAAGAAAATGATTTAACTCTTTTTAATTGAGCTTTACCCTTTATTCTACCTCTAAAAGTGAGCACTAACCACATTAATGACCTGGTTTAGTGGATTAACCAGGTGAACCTTACCTGGGGTGACAAGATCTCCTTTATGGTGGTCTCTAGGTCGCATTCAAACACGTGTGCTTTGGTTATTTTCTTCTCCCAGTGGGCTGCGAGCCATATCTTGGCTAGTGTGCTTCGTTTGGAGGTGAAGATTTGGGCATAAAACATCGTGATGTGTGGCGAGTCTGAGAAAACACAAGCCGTCATGGGAGACTGTGCAGCTCGAATGTAACTCAATGAACTTATTAGCGTTTATTAACATCGCCGTACATTTAAATATAGTCACTCATTCACACGGTGACATAAGACATGGCTTTTTGTTAATATATGTTGCACTTGAGTTTTGGCTGTCACTCCAAATTCCTTATATAGCGTTTGTTTGTTTTTTAGGCTCTGTCTCAAAACACAGTTAGCTACCCACCCAGACAGCCTCAATAGGCACCGTCCACATGATTGAATGATGCTCCAAAGTGCTGTCTAGATGGACACCAGACATGTTGTGCGTGCGGAACGCGCATATGACACACAGGAATGTTGTCTAGGTAACGTTAGGGAGGCGGGAGCTCACTAGTTTTTGAGACGCAATCTTGTGTAAGGCTAGCCAATTAAATACGGAGTTTTTTTCGCGTTCAGCAGTTTTCCTGGAAATTAGCTTTATTCGTCTATAAATAAATTATTATAAAAGTCTAGACATCTCTTATTTTTCAAATGTAAAGTTAGGCCATACCTGTTGCCGCTCGGCGTTCATCAACACTGAATCAATTTCCCGCCCACTTCACGTGCGCTTCTATGCTATGTTGCCCATAAAAAGAATAAGTATGTGTGTAATTTAATATGACCAAAACCAACTATTAATAAGAATGAAATATGCTTGTTCATCTATTTCAAAGGCTAGAATATAATGTAATGCTATATCTAGAAAAAGTGTACCATCATTCCCTTCTGCAGTGACAGCAGTAGGAGGAGGTGTCGCTGGTAATTCATTCGGGGTGTCCTCATAGAAATCAGGCACCACAGCATCATCAGTAGTATTTGCTATAAAATCTAGACAGACCACAAATACAGAGAAAGAAACAAATATTGGACTCGGAGAAGTGGGAGGGTGATTCAGTTCCATAATTTTAGTGGTTTAAAAAAAGACTAGGCAGATTGTATAAATTTAGATGCAATGATTTTGTACAAAATGCACAAAAAGCAAGGGGATTCATATTCACTTATATTACAATCTACTATCATATCCCTCGTTAATGTTCACACTGAGCCATGGGGGAAGTGTTTGACAAACATATTTAAAAATAGTCACTTTTCACAATTCCCTTTTGTGGAGGAGAAATTATACACTTCAGCTTCAACATTAAACCGACTTAGATTTTTCTCTCATAACTTGACGTATGGACATTTTAATGTATCCCACAACTTATTTAAACATTACATTATTTGCTATTATTGCACTAACCTCTATTACAATAGTGTTAACTCTTGATATATTAACTTCAAAGGGATAGTTCACCCAAAAAATTTTTATTCGGCTATCATTTTACTCCCTTTAAGTATTTGTAATCAATGACTAAACAGTTATTTGACATTTGGTTAACACTTACGAATATTTTCATCTTTATATTTATTTATTTTTATTGAGCAACATAATTATAATTATTTTTGCATTACAAAAAACTTTTTTTTTTTGTATAACATGCTGCATTAGAAAATACATAATGCCAGTTCTGATTTCATTTTGACTTTAAACATACATACATATTACTATTTTTATTAGTATGTGTGTGTGTGTTTTCGGTGTGCATGTCGCAAACTCATAAGTGTATATACTGTACCAATGAGGTCGACAGCCATTTCTTCATCACCAAAGCAGTCGCCGTGGACACTGAAACTCTGATCAAACAACCCTTGATAAGACTGGATTTCCTCACCTTTGAATGGTAAACAAACACAGTGTTACAACCGGCTCAACAATTGCGACATGAACGAGAGCCAAACAATCAATAATCAACATCTACAGTTTTGCATAGTGTATGTAAAAACTTGGTTCGTTGTTCATTCAGAGGGTTTACCAATTTGCTCCATGGTGAGAAAGTGGTTCTCAAAGGTCTCTTTGAGGGTAATATCTTCAGTGCGGCACTGATTCAAAGAGAAGTGATCGACCACATCAATGGTGCTGCGTGAGACATAACATGCCAAATAAGTCATAAAAACATGATATCAGGAAAAAAAAAAACCTATATAAAGAGCTGTTGAAGAACATGATACTTGAGATCAGGCAGCTGGGAATCAAAGTCAGTGAAGTCCTCTGGTAGAGTGATAGATTTTAACGCGGCCTCCATCGCATCCTCAGGCAGATCTGTCTGTCCTGTGATCAAAAACGAAATATCGTTGAGCTCTCTTGCAGTGTTCACTCGTTCTGTTGTCACTGACGGATTTAAAATCAGAGATGGCACATATGAGGATGCATTCACCTGGCCGGAAAGCCACATTAATTTTGACCAATGCATCACTGCAGTCTGTGAGAAGGTATCTGGTCTTCCTTGAGTATATCCGGACAACTCCTAAAAGAAGGTGACCTGAAGTTCGCAGACCGATTTTAATCTGGTAATGAATCATGGAGATAAATCACACACACACACACACACACAGGGGAAGAAAATGATTTAACTCTTTTTAATTGAGCTTTACCCTTTATTCTACCTCTAAAAGTGAGCACTAACCACATTAATGACCTGGTTTAGTGGATTAACCAGGTGAACCTTACCTGGGGTGACAAGATCTCCTTTATGGTGGTCTCTAGGTCGCATTCAAACACGTGTGCTTTGGTTATTTTCTTCTCCCAGTGGGCTGCGAGCCATATCTTGGCTAGTGTGCTTCGTTTGGAGGTGAAGATTTGGGCATAAAACATCGTGATGTGTGGCGAGTCTGAGAAAACACAAGCCGTCATGGGAGACTGTGCAGCTCGAATGTAACTCAATGAACTTATTAGCGTTTATTAACATCGCCGTACATTTAAATATAGTCACTCATTCACACGGTGACATAAGACATGGCTTTTTGTTAATATATGTTGCACTTGAGTTTTGGCTGTCACTCCAAATTCCTTATATAGCGTTTGTTTGTTTTTTAGGCTCTGTCTCAAAACACAGTTAGCTACCCACCCAGACAGCCTCAATAGGCACCGTCCACATGATTGAATGATGCTCCAAAGTGCTGTCTAGATGGACACCAGACATGTTGTGCGTGCGGAACGCGCATATGACACACAGGAATGTTGTCTAGGTAACGTTAGGGAGGCGGGAGCTCACTAGTTTTTGAGACGCAATCTTGTGTAAGGCTAGCCAATTAAATACGGAGTTTTTTTCGCGTTCAGCAGTTTTCCTGGAAATTAGCTTTATTCGTCTATAAATAAATTATTATAAAAGTCTAGACATCTCTTATTTTTCAAATGTAAAGTTAGGCCATACCTGTTGCCGCTCGGCGTTCATCAACACTGAATCAATTTCCCGCCCACTTCACGTGCGCTTCTATGCTATGTTGCCCATAAAAAG